ATGATGATGATGATGATGATGATGATGATGATGATGATGATGATGATGATGATAGTAATAGTATTTCACTGAGAAAATCAGCATAGCTGAGCGACCCGAAGTGTAAAATACACTGGAGCGATCAAGTGTAAAGTAAAGTAAAAACTATTATAAAAGCCTTTAGTGATAGAATGTTAACGATTCCACTGGCTTCAAGAAGTAAAGCGCGGGATTCACGAACAAGTTATTCGTTAAAATTCACTGTACATCGACAGCCCCTTTCCTTTTTAAATGGACAGACGTTAAACGTTTGACTGATTTGCCGAAAGAAATACTCCTAACATAATATATTAAAATATTGGAACCCATACGATCAAGTCTTGTCACATCAAAGAACTATTTATCCAGGTTGACTTAGAATCTCACTAGCTGGTCCCTTTATTTTTTTACGTTTATCCAGTAGCGCTCAACCTACTACCCAAAACATAGAACATTCAAACTTACTCGGTCAACTTCTGCCACAACAAAGAATTATTTATCCACTTTGAGTCCGACTGACGGGGCCCCCTTTTATTCCTCTGTTCTTCCAGTCGAGCTCTGGGGACTGGCTCGAACTGTCGACGGCGCCACTCGGCCAGCACCTCTCACTGTGTAAACTTGACGTGTGTTATGTGCTAAGCAACACATTCCCGTATCGATCTCGTTCACCTACCGGGGAAACTATTGATCGATCGGTCCACCATTCTGATCAGTTGATCTTCTGGTCCGTCGTGCATGGCCATTGGTGGCGCCTTGCGAAGAGAGATAATACAGTATATTCCCGTGAGGCGGAGTCCCCCCCCCCCCTAGCATTTATTCATTGTAATAGTTCCGTTCAATTGACGTTCGATTGGTCTTCTGTAGGAACGACAACTGCACAATAATGGTCTATTAGGTTAAAAACAATTTGGCACAAAAAAGTAATAATAACATTATTTTATCTCATAACACATTACCGTATAGTGCACTCAATTACTTTTACGCGATAGTAATTGCATTTAAGCTGCATGAATTTCAAGTACAGCAATAATAATATGCACATGTACAGAAAATAGCGCCCAGTGCGTTGAGCAATCACTAAATCATTCCCTTGTCTAAATTATCTCACTCTCAAACCGTTTGCAAACTCGGAGAGCGCAACCCTTAGAATTCATCAGAGAGCGCAAAAAGCTGTGTTACTGAACCTGTTGTCGCTACCTTAAAATGTCAAAAACGTACGAAAGCTAT